AAGAGGACTCTTTAATAAAATCTAAAACTGAAATACTTGCTGATATATAAAAAAAAGGCCAACAGCCTCAGCAGCATGACGCCTAAGGAGGGGTTTTAGTGGGTATACCCAATATGTGGGGGAGCCCCACACTCAGTGCGATGGGGATGCATTTCCCCTCCTAAGAAAAAAAAATGAAGCGACATTCTCAATGAAACTTCTACGTACATGAGAAAGCATTACGTATCTGCCATTTATAGCAAATAAAGAAAGCAACTAAACGGCTCTTACGTCACCTGTTAAACTTATTTTTTAGGCTATCATCACAAAAACGTTGATTTTGTGGTCGCTTTTGCGGCCATAAAGTTTCACTTTATTGTACGCTTCTGTCAAACTTTACTTTATTGTACACATCTGTCAAACTGTAGGTACTTATTTGAAACTGATGTGTGAGAACCAGTAATCTGTTTGATAGAAAGCGTCTATCTGGTCTGTCCCTATCGAGGATTGGTCCATCCACGTGCGTTTTTTTCATTTTCAGACTTGTAGGAATGTTTCACACTATTTTGCGTAATCACAATGTTCACATTTAAAATTATAGTTTGACGTTTCAATCTTTGCTGCTTGCAGAGACCTTTTTGAAGTGTAGAACCAAAACATGAGGAAGATGTTATTGCTTACATTATTATACAAAGAATCACCAGCAATTAACCGAGAACACAAGTAGCTACCTATACCTACCATCAAAGTAGGTAATCAGGTTTCTAATAATTGTACGTTAACTATAACGTCTTGGAAGCCACAGTTACGAAGGACCTATTTAATTGCATTTGACATTATTAAAATCTTGTTCAACCGAGGAAGTTGCGATTGTACTTTTACTCTCAAACGCCTGCTTTTATATCATCGCAAGCGCAACGCTTGCAGCTTCCAAAATTTCATTTGGGTATCTGAACTGTCGCTATCACCCATTTTGATACGCACAAAACACACGCAAAGATGCTAATTATAATTTATTACATATGACAGGAAATGCTTTGTTTTTAATTGTCTAAGATAACTATGATTTTCAGAAAAAATATGTTTATGAGCAATTTTTTGAATTCTTTTTTGATGATCGCCTAAAAAATGTTGTGTGCACCTTGGCCAAAAGTGATTTGTTAGGCCTCATCTGAATTGCGGCCTCGGCTACCGCCTCGGCCACAAACAGCAGCTTCGGTCAAACAAGATCACTTTTACGGCCTTGGTACACAAATAACTATTAACCTTTCTACAGCATAATCTTATAAAACTCTTTTTACTAGTTTAGATTCTGACTTTATGAAAGTTGCGGGTTGTAGTTTCTCAAATATAGAAAATAATCTACAATTGTGTGATCATTTTTGGAAATCTGCAAATTGGATTTTATATTTCAATCAATAAACTCTAATACCAACCTCCTTAGGAAATTTTCCAAAGCATAAGCTTCCAAACTTCAATAAGTGAGCTGACAATGCCTTTGCCAATTTAAGAATCATTTTCATTTCAAAAGGAACGGTACTTTTTTCGAAAACATATGCGGGAAAACAAAGATTTTCCGAGAAGTAAGCTTTTTCTGAAGGAAAATCACCATTCTTAGGTCAAATTTAAGGTGTAATAATTGTAAATGAAGTACAGCAATTCTGTTGAGCAAATATGGCGAAAGTAATACAATTTTGCCTTGCAGGGATTATTGGGGATCGTTGCAAATTGCTTCCATTTTTCATTACAACATTATCGATACGTTATGAAATTCTAAAATATAAAAAACATTGCCTTAATGTCCATTGCAAAATAAAAATTTTTCAAATTACCGGAAGTTTTTGTCAAAAAATAATATTCTTTTTTTCACGATTTTTACTATGCGTTTCCATTGCGTTTAGTCGTATGTGATAGCATCAATTTTTGAGACAGTAAATCACGAAGAAATCCATACGCGTATTGATGTTGGATTTCCAAACATCACGAAACGAGAGCAACGTCTACATAATTAAATCGGTGGCGCGGCGTGAGGACTACCCCTAACATATGGCGAGTACACGCTGTAGAAGGAATTTTTTAATTCCGCTCATAAACTAAAAATGGAGCAATGCCATAGGTACAGTAGTTTTTTCCTTATATGGAGAAAATCTGCAATTTATCTTACAGTAATTTTTCATTACAAAGTTAGTGGTGCAGTGTTTTCTGTTTTTAAATCGTGTACAATCAAGGAAGATCTTTCACGGTGTAAGCTGCTGGTTCAATTATAATAAGTAGGTTCCGAGGTGGCTTTCTGTACAAAATTCAACCTTTCTATTATAATTTTGAGACAGTAAATCGCGAATATCATTGATATTATTCAATTATAGGTTAATAAGGATCGCTATGAAAAAAAATTCGTCGGTCTCATTAATTATACTGCAAATTTATGAAAAAAAATATCACTTTCAAAACTAGTTGTACAATAGTTATTTAGTTATGAACTTAATCAAACTGCAAATTTATGAAAAAAAGACACTTTCAACACGTGTTGTTCATGAAATTTTTTTGCATAGTAATAAACCCATTACTGAATAATATCATTGACATTCGCGATTTGCTGTCATTAAACAATTGAGCCTTAGACAGGACTGAACGCCATGGAAACGCATAGTAAAAATCGTGAAAAAAAGTACCACTTTCCATACGATTCTTTTGGAAAAAAGTCAAGTAATTTGATAACTATTCAAAAAATAACCATTTTAATTCAGTTCGTAAAGCAACTTTTTGTTTAAAATTAATAGTGAGATTAGTGTTAGCGATTCACAAGTAAGGAAATTATTTCATAGCCTAAACCAACTTGAATAAGCGACGAACTGACTTGCTATATAGCGTGGGTTAGATTGGTCCCCTAAATAACGGGTGATCAAAAACGAGTTGCTGTGGAGTTAAGTACGATTTCCCTTGTAAACAAAAATTCCAAAAGTGGCTCGACAGCAACCAATTTTTGATCGCATAGTACAAACACCGAATCATCGGCACTTTAATTTGTGCCCGCTTTGTACTGATTTGTGTGCCAACTCTCTAGTTTTTGCGGTTTTTAGGATTGCCACTAACATTTCTAAATCCCAGTGCTTTGTGCTGATTTTTACGCCAATTTCCACAGGTCGTGCGTCAAAATTAACAGAGAATTCCTGGTGCCAAATGGTATACCTATAATCCAATCAATGGGGAGCTAAGCTACCTTGCATTAAATCGGGGAGTTTTGAAATTTGGCATGTGAGTTCAGTTTTACGTCCTGTGCAACATATCAAGTTTGCGACATCGTTCTATCTGAGAAACGCCGCTATTTTACTAAAATCAATGTATGCTTCCATTCAAAAAGTACTTAGGTATTACAAAAATTGTAGAGAAATTACAAGTTTTGTCTGAAGTATTTTTCCATTAAACAAATGGTTTTTGTGCTATATTATATCAAAGTGGGGCATATTTCTTAAAATCAAAATTTTAACCGATGGAGTTCCACTTTGACCTATCCGAGTACCTATGCTAAAATCGACCGTCTGCCGCCTCAGGTACCAATTTTAAATTGCTTTTTTTAGAAAATAAGTTATACCTAAACCAAATGAAAACGTTGATAATGACTCTTTTGGTAACTCTGTAAAAAAACAATTCTTAGTCGGTTTTTTCTGCGGATATAACTAGATTACGGTTGGATGAATGAAGCTGATTTTTTTACAGACAATGATAGGTACAGCCAATGACTATGATAGTGTTTCTTTTTTAATTTTTTTTTCTAATTATAAGATATGAGATAATCTTATAATTAGAGAAAAGATTTAAGTCAGTGGCAGTACCTACCTATCATTAGTCTGTAAAAAAATCAGTTTCATTCATCCGACCGTTAGCTAGTTAAATCCGTAGAAAGTTCGTGAGATACCGACTAAGAATTATTTTTTCCTGTGAAAAAGGCGCGTTTTCGCGATTTTAAGAAATATGTCCCACTTTAATATAATATAGCACAGAAAACCATATGTTTAATGGCAAAAATTTCAGACAAAACTTGCAAAGAATTTAGTTCTCTACAATTTTTGTAATAGGTATTTCTTGGATTAAAGCAACTGAAAAGGAGATAATGTCAAAAAACCGATTTTAAAACGGTAACGTTTCCCAGGGCAGTACGATTTCGCAAGCTTAATATGCTGTTCGGGAATTAAAACTGAAGTAATATGCCAAAAGCTCCGGTATATTTCACAAATAGTATTTTAACATCATGCCTATTAATACGATTGTTTGATATATTGATATAGACACCTCTCTATTTTTCAGCCCTTATTAGGCTATAGCCTATTGTATAGATGTATAGATAATCCGCTCTTCTCTCTGTGGAATAAAATGGGGAATTTCGCAAATTACCAAAAGTAGGACGAAGATTGGGCGGAAATTGAAAATCCTCCTGTAACTCGCATTATGCGGGTCACTCTGTAATTGGGCGCAAGCCTGTTGAGGGCCCAGAACGAGAGGGGGATAATAAATAAATAAACTCGACATTTTGCAATAATCGAGCACAAACTAAGAAGTTGGCGCCTAAATCAGCACAAAACGAGCACAGTTGAGATACGAAGATTAATTGCTCTTTAATCCATTTTGTTTCAAAATTTCCCTTATTCTTTATTAAAAAATAAATAGCATCCTTTCGGAATCCAAATTGTAGGCAAGTGGAAAGATTTTCGACTTACAACACCGCTCTGTTTAAGGTGACATGAAAAATTGGACAAGGCGTTTCACTTGAGCAAGTTTGGTTGTAATGTTTCTCATAAATAGAGAAAAACTACAATCTTATCTTGCAAATCATACACTAAAAACTACCCCTATTGTCTGATTGGATCAGAAGCTATTAACTGCTGTGCATGTAAGGTCAGTTGTGAAGCACTTTATTAGTTTTTTACTCGCTAATTATAACGTTGAATTATATTGACCTTCCTTCCGTGCTTCCTTATTTGTAATGCTTACGCTAAGAATGTAACTTTCACATAATCACGCTATTCAACGCGACCTGATATCTTCATCTTTTAATAACTTATCGTATACCCCAGTCATTCAATGATTTTTTGACAAAGTACTACCTATACGTTTTCAAATTTGGAGACACAGTTGAAGGTAAGAATAAACCCTAAGCCACAAAAAATTATTTCAGCAAACACCACAGGTCGTTGACGATCTTTTGAAATTCACGTAATCTTTAGATATAGACAAATTAATCGGCGCCAATTTTTGGAAATTTACACTTTTACTAGTTTACGGATTTTTGTTTTGGTATCAGCACTCGCACAAAATGTTGCGAGCAAAATACTAAATAGAAACAAACCTTATCAGACTTTAATCCAGCGGTGGGAGTGATATCACTAGGATCCGACTCGGGAATGGGCTCATTGTGATCCTCCAGATGTACACCGGGCCATCCTACCCAATAACCATCACCGTTAATAACAACGGGCGCAACGGCGGTCACCAAACCGCCCGCACTAAACAAACAAGAACACATTTTTATCACAGTTTACTCGCCAAAATCTAAATAATCCCACCTCGCCTTTCTAAACAACCGTCCATCTTCATCCCTCTGCAAGACGAAGGGAAGACGATTCGAGACGACAATCATGCATCCCGATGAGGTGACTGTATCTGCAACAACGGGATAATGTGCAGTTGGCATCTTTACACAAAGTACTAAACGTGGTTTATTGATACGCGAGCAAGTTTCATTTTCAAATCGGAACCGATTACTAAATAATCTTTCTTTGTTGTTTACTATATGTACAGCTTTGCTCCGCCTTAATTATGATTAGGTGTGGGCGATGGACGTTTAGGGTGATCTAACTTACCCGGGGGTGAATTTTTGGAAAATTACGGTTCGTGTCTACGAAGATTTAAAATATGTCAAGGTATCGACTATCGTGCAATACACTTACAAAATTATCTTATAATGAAATAATAGTGTTGCCAATTACATAAATGGAGCGTTTCACAAAACGTTTCTTTTGGTGATCCAAATTTCAACCTAAGTATAATAGTGTAGAACTTCTCTCCCGATCCTTTTTTCATTTGAGTCATACTTGTATCCTATATCCCGTGAATGAATATAAGGACAGACGAAACATTTTTTCATTCCTTCAGATGCTTATTTTCTCCCAAATAACCGTATCAAATATTTTGCTTCAATTCTGCTCAGTTTATAAAGTAGCTACCATTTTTTAATCTTAGCGGTAATTAAAAAACTACTCTTATGTGGTTTCTTTACAACATCTAAATGATCAAATTTGCATTGAAGGTAATTATGAATCCAGAAGACCTTTACGAAAGCCACATCTCGTTTCTTACCTGTTGCGATGACAAAATTATGTCGCAACCCCTAATTAATGTATTAATGATAGTAATTATAAACCATTCATCAATGGTCATAATAATAAACAGTAAATGTATAGCTAATTAGTTTAGTACGGAAGGAATTGCAAATGATTTGGTGGCATCTCATTAATATTTGATGAAAATTTGTTTATGCAAACCTTCATATTTGTAACCTTGCTATTGCTGTTTAGTTTTCTCCTTGGCGATTCGTCTTCCTGAATTTTAGGTAAAGGAAACAATTCTGCAAGGTGTATGGTATTCATATCACAGTGGGCTAGCGCTACAATTTTTAATACATGATTGTCAAGGAAGTATTGTAGAATAATATAATCTATACGAGGTGAAACACCTAATTACTCACTTGGTAGAACGTTCACTGCGTTTATGGTACTAATTCTGTACTTTTTTTCCTCTATATGCCGCTAGAACAAAATAATCTATACTTGGTCGGATCCACATATTTTGCCTCTACCTCCGTCTTATTACCAAGTGTAGTATTTGTAGTTTAAGTTACAAACAAAAATATGACTGTTTCATCTTTAGAAAAATAGTATGCTTACTCCAATGCGATATCTAATTTGACCTTTTACAATATTACTGGTGTGTTGATATTATTAGGTAATTTTTACAGTGTGAAATTCGGAAGTGGTTTTGGTGGTTCCAAATCATCTATTTAGAGGTTATTTTACAGTTTAAACAATTAAATCCAATAAACAAACATGTAAAATGTAGCCACTGAGTCATGTTTCAGAGAGTCTAACTTTTACAAGAGACAGGTAATTGGTTAGCATATTTTAAATTGCGGAAAAATGTGGAAATTGAATTGAAGTTTACTGGAATTTCTTACGTCTTGCTTTAACATTCGCAAACTCTACTAGTAAGTCTTTAAATAAGTCAAGATTTTGAGTCAAGTCATTTTCAATAGCTAATACTGCTAGATGGCTTCTGTTTTCTGGATTTGATTTGATTTCAAGCAGTTCGCTTTATTCTTATGAACTTGGAAAAGATCTTTCAGCACACAAAAACGCTTTTAAACATATTTATGCTTATGTTGGGATACAAGTTCAACAGGTCGTTTGATCTCACAAACATATTCAGATGTGTTAATGAAAAGTCTTCTTCCATTGCCATGTTCATTTTCAGGCCCAGAACTTCCCGATGACTCTGTTTCATCAAGAAATCTCTTCCTCTTTCTGAACCTCTGGGGTGTGTCTTCAAGTTTCAGATCTGACAGTTCACCATCAAATGCAAAACGTTTTTAAAAATATTCTTTAGTTGGTCCACAAGAGTAACGATAGATAGTTCTTTTCAAAAGTCCTGTAGCTTTGCTCTTTGTGGTGTTGTTTTCATCTTGACCATACACTCAAGTATTTTACGGTCTTTGAAATAGGCTCTAAATCTCTATTGAAACTTCCCTGGCCGATCTACTTGTTATGCTCAGTGATTTTATTGGTAAGTTCAGATTTGAAAATCATTCCAGTACGTTTCACCTATGGATCGAGGAAGAGAGAAAGGTGTACAGGCCTTGTAACAAGTAAAAGAAATTGTTTGAAAAACTGCAGCATTTTGCGCACTAGTCTCTACCAAATTAAGGGATTGGGCAGAGCATCATGGCACGTAAAATGTTAATGGGTTAACTTCTTTTAATCTAGCCTGTAATCCATATTAAATTCTACCCATATTTGATCACTGGCCCCGACAGTTGTGAATGTCTAAATCATGATCGTTTAGGAAATGTAGGACTTGGTTTTTTAAAAATTGGACAAAACATCGCAATTCGTAACGTTTCTTGTAAATCATTGTTTTTTCGTAAATCTGTTTTTATCTTTGTAAACCCTTTTAAATTTTTCAACATTTCCATCTTTATATTACTTAAATTCATTTATAGCAAAATGATCTCTAGTGGGGTCATTAACTGTCCAAAAAGTTGAATCGTAATCTAGATCAAAGATGTCAATATCACTTACAACACTTAGAACAGGGTTTTAAGAGCCCTTTTTGTAATCTTGGAGCTTCAGATGGAACTTGAACTTCCTCTTGTTGCTCCTTTGATGCTGATGCATAACAAGATCTTGGTCACCACTATCATACGATATAATTGTATCAATATTGTTGTTTTTTCAGAGATGGTGCCTAAACAAGTACTTGTTGGTTTACTTTAAACTTTAAAAAAATTTACTGTAATTAGCACAGTTAAAATACACTTTCTTTGTGCGAAACACTAGACTGAGCGAATAATAATCACACAAATCTTCACTATTTCGCTGATCTACGGACACAGTACAACTTCAATGGGGGCGAAGGGGGTTACAAGCCAACGCCTTTATAACCACAATATGCCAAGAATCTTATTTTCTTCATACCTATCAACAATATTAACTTATATACAGGGTGAGCTTTTCCGATGTTTAGAATGGGGATCTCGTAAATCGTAAGAGATACAAAGTCGCTTAGATGGGCAAAGAATTGCAGAATTTTATGTTGATTTAGTTTGTCTTGCAGATAGCAAAGATATCAAAAAATTGTATTAACATACTCTTGTTATTTTTCCTCAGAATTCTGATGGTGCGAAAATAAAATTTGTATCACTTGTAAAGTTGCGAGTAAATCACATCAATTTTATTATTTCTTATGGACGCCATATTGGATTTTTATGTCATTCGATAGAGACATTACAAAACGTATTTTATTTGGGAATCAACTTTGCATTTTTGCACTAGTAATATACAGGGTGACAATTTGAAAACTTACCACCCCCCATATCTTAGTAAATAAACGAGATATTTAAAAAAATCAAAATCCGTTTCGGTAGTTCGGAGGGGGAATCACAATGACATAGTTGGCGACGCACCCCCTCACACCCCCTGCGCCCTTGCCACCCCACCACCCCAACTTTTAAATCTTAAATTGTGACCCCCCCATGTGTGATACGTCGTCGGAAAGCTCTGAAAAAATGCTTTCCAACCATACCAAATAGCATTACATTTAGGTCGTGCAAATGAAAAAATAAACTAATATGATACATTTTCTAAAGTTGGCTTTTATTTCAATAAATGTTCAAAATGTTTTCCGTTATTGGTAAGACAGTATTACTATGCGATCAAAAATGAGTTGCTGTCGAGTCGCCCTTTGAAATTTTTGTTTACATGGAAAATCGTATTTAACTTGAACTTCCAAAGCCGACTCGACAGCAACTCATTTTTGATCGCCAGCTATAATCTATTCTCAAACTCTTGTCGAACCTTTTCAAATGTTGGTTTTGCAATATTTCGACATTCTTGAATTATTCTCTGTCTCTGTCGTCTATGTTCGCCGGTTGCGTTTTAAATACGACAGATTTCAAATGTATCATATTAGTTTATTTTTTGATTTTCACGATAATTACTAACCTAAATGTAATGCTATTTGGTATGGTTGGAAAGCATTTTTTCAGAGCTTTCCAACGACGTATCATACATGGGGGGTCACTATTTAAGATTTAAAAGTTGGAGTGGCTGGGGCGCAGGGGGTTGGAGGGGGTGCGTCGCCAATTATGTCATTGTGATTCCCCCTCCGAATTACCGAAACGGATTTTGATTTTTTTAAATATCTCGTTTATTTAGTAAGATATGGGGGGTGGTAAGTTTTCAAATTGTGACCCTGTATATTAGTAATGTAGGCCAACCAATCTCTTTGTCATTAATTGGACGAATCATTTTCTTATTTAAGGTAGGTAATACTTTACCTACTAATATTGTGCAAAACGATCGAATTGAAAAAAGTCATAAGAAAACCAAAATTGTATAATGTAAGTACTATAATAGCTGAATATGTTTGGGTATAACAGTTTCATCATATTCACAAACTATTTCCTTACAGTTATTCAGTCTGTTTCGTTTTTGTTGGGTCACCCTGTATGTTACACCGGCTATAAGCCTATATTGAATTGCAGTTATGCCAAACTTGATGGCTATCGGAAATCTTTGTTCCTAGTCGAAAAGTAGTAAAACAAGCACAAATTAGTGTTTCGGTTTAGGTTGGAATAACTTAATGCACTTGAACTGAGATGCTTTGAAATGTAATTCAGTCAGTTCATGTGTAAGTGGGACGTAAAATAATGAGTAGGTATTTAATAAAAACTTTTTAAAATTACAGTCGTGTAATCGATGCGTTCTTAAGTATAATGGACGTCTCTGAAACAAATGTAATGCAAGCAAATTTACAAATGGTGTCTTCTCAGTTACAAACGATGTTTCCGAAACACAAGAACTTATGTCAACCAAATTTCATTGGACACTTTCTGTAGGTGTTGCTACTTTATTTTAAAACTGCCACTTTCTAAATTAATACAAAGGAGCTTATAAGGCACTTTTAAATTTGGCATGTGGTTTATATTATACTCGCCAGAAGAGAATGCCGGTCGCAGAACACCCGATGCCGGACAATATTGTAGGTGGCATCAAGTATTCTGTCAGCGGGATTCTCTCGTGGTGAGCATACTTTTGCTATTAATTTTACGAAAACTTAGGCATAACTGTACTATGAAGACGTTTCGTGGAGTGCTAAATGGTAAAGCTAAGTGTAAATAAGCTGAAGTACCACATTTCATTCTCGTATCAATGCCGAATATTTCCACACACATAGGCCAATCGTACTGCACGCAGCGAAATGTCAGGAACATCTTCGCCTCACTAAACGACTATCAACATGGTCAGTTAAAAGTACTACCTACATTGCCTATTTATGGAAACGTGCTTCATCGCGGTTTTGATGTGATAATTACTGAAATAATTGCTAATTATACATTTGAAGATTAACGCACTCACAAACAAGCAATTACTACCGGTAATTTTATAGGAATTAGATACTACCTTGGTTGTATAAAATTTTGCAATACGCCAAAGAATTATTTACAACAAAGAGATTAATTTACCTTGATCCAATTCTCAAATAAAAATGCATTATGTAACAATACTTGCGGTTAATAACATTCATGGTCAATTATCTATAGTAATGAAATGGATTTTATGTTTACCAAAAAATTGTACGGTATACCAAAGGTTGTGGTCAGTTGAGTTGTATTTCGGGTGCCGGTCCCACCACAACGTCGTTACTCGTTGGTGTTTTTGTCTTCTTCAATCATAGGAACGCTAATCTTATCGCACTACGACTGCCAAAAACCAGAGCATAAAAAACAGCGATCTACTGTTAACATCCTATGTCAATACATTTGACAACTAGATATTGTAAGCATGACAATGGAAAATATTTCACCCTGGAATCGTTTCCTATCTTGCCATTTGCATATAAATATCTGGTCACTAATGACTTTAAATCTGTTGTTTTGGCGGAAAATTCCCTTCCTATATAAAAAAACATTTCAAGGTACAAAAATAGGAGGAAAATTTCTATACATAACATACACGAAACGGCAGAAAGATAATGATTAACTTCTGTAATTAACGGCAATCGTGAGTGAAAGTTGAAGTTACCGTCTGCATTGATTTGTTTATACCTCATTCCAATAAGCATGCGAAAAAGTAAAGAATTGCACGTAAAGACCTAAAGAGATTAATTGCAAAAAAAGGGCAATAATAGCGCAATCTTAATTAATTTGATGTAGAAGTTATCTTGTTTAAATATTTAAATGTGTACAAAGCAACGTGTACACAATTTAATAAGCAACTTCGCAAATGCGATTCGCATATAATATCTGTTAAACCTACGCGTTTTGATTTATGAAGGGATAAAGATCTGTCTTCAAGAACCAACTCCCAATCTCCCATTACTTCCATTACTTCCGATAGGTATTGATGCACGTTTCAAAATTAAACCTTGTACGACTTGTATTTGCAATAAAGATCTGTCTTCAAGAACCAACTCCCAATCTTTTTTTTTAAAACTTCTTACCAACTTCACCGCAATGTCAAGGGCATCAAAAGAAAAATGAACCAACAATTTTTATAGAGATATGGTGTCCTTTATAATTCCAGGAGGTACATACATTTTTTAAACAAGATACATAGTATTAAGTAATTTGTGATTGTAAACAGCCCGTTATCGTTTTATCTATTTAGTGAGTGGGTTTGTTTGAGGTAATTGTACTTGGTAAGATTCCATCATCTCGATAACAGATGATCCCAAATTTTCCGTTTCTTTCAAATTTAAAAACCGAGGAAAAGAGTTAAATATGTCTCTGTATATTAATAAATATATATAGCATCATTTGCTTTAATAAAGTATGTGTGCTGTCATCCAGTACCAACATGGATGTTAGAAATGATTAATCTAAAAGTACTTACCACCAACAGCAACCTCAGGTGGACCAGTTAGAAGCCTTCTCGAGACCATCGAAAATAAGTTTAATTTTTACTGTACTGTTGTCAAGCCTTAATTCTCAACAGCATACCATACACCAAGCATGCGTTGCACTACTATTCCCTAAACTCAAATAATGAGAGACTACCTTGCAAAGGTGGAAATGGAAATGTTTAACTATGGAACTTTCCGACGAGTTACTGATCTGTTCGTAGTACGCAAAGAGATTAGATTATTTGAATAGCATATGATCCATTTCATTTCATGGTTTTCAGAAGACCACAAGAAAATGTAGGGCAATCCCGTATTAATTGATGCACGTCTCAAATTTCTACGATCTATGTACATAATACGTAATACATTTTGTAAAAATGAAGAAAAGACGATTATCATGTTTTCTGAATCAACCAGTATGGAGATGGAGACTGTTTTCAAGACAGTTATTAATAGTACCTCCATCAGCTTCATACATCGATCATATTGTGCTGACAATAGAAGTCTTCTGATTAATGTCTACTTATAAAGCACTTATTTCTTCATAGCCTAAAAGGTTTACCTAAAACTTTTCTTAACAAATGTTTAACTATCCCTATTAGTCTCTCAAAAAACCCTACCCACCAAGATCCACTGTAGGTGGGTTTTGAACCGCCAAATAATTCGTTGTGTATTTGTGTCTTTCGTTATAGTATTCCAATCTAGAGTTTCGAAAACTTGTCCGAACCACGAAAATTAGTCCCGCTATCACTACCTACAGTATATAGCATTTTAAGTCTACCCCGTCGAGCAATAAAACTACCAAACACGTTGAATAAAATTAAGAGTAGATAATGATACGGTCTTTTCTATGTGCGCCGCACGAAACACGGCACAGGTAAAAAAGACAACACCGCGCTTTTATTACCGTCCCCCAAAAAGATAGATCCTAAAATATCGACACCCTGATCGACACCAATAATCTGGAAAGTGAGTGCATCGATAACTAAATCATTTGCTCATTTTCTCCTTCAGCACTTAAGAACTTCCAAGGGAGAGCCACCACTACCCTAGGCTGCCAAATCTTCAGTGTCATTAGCCTCGCACCACAAGAATTGAAGTTGGATCTCGCCAAATACGCAGTAAGTCTCGAGGCAAACAAGACTCAATCAAAGGAAACAAAAGTGCCGCATATTTGTCCGATGTAATGCCCAAAGTACCTGGACCCCTTAACTCGGTCTAAATCACATCATACAGTTTAGACAGGTCCTGCTTTTCTTTTGAAATCGCATTATTTAATACCAACTCTAACAACTCGCGAACATATACCTCGATTTGCAAGTCTTCGCGGCCAAATCTCGCAGTCAATAATTTTGTTAAACTCTCTATTTGACGAGCTCGGCTATCCGCAACGGTAGCTTGCACTAAGTAATCTATTTTATCGCAATTGTCTAAAGCAGAATCTGTATGAATTTTCAAAATGGAGCCTAGAAAGGCAACCGATCCTTTACATTACCGTCGTAGTTACAGTTTAAACTGAATAAGAGCTAACTTAAATTTACGTTTACCTCAAACTTAACAGCTTGCCAATCTTCACCCTGTAGGTAGTCATTCTCTTGGTATACGTCACACTGCTCCATTTCTGTGATTAAAGACTCTTCGGAGGTACCACTCTAATAACCAGCTGCAAATTCCAGAGTTGATCGTGGCAAGGTCTTCAATTTTAAGTTTAAAGCACTCCCAAAACACTTCTACTTCTTTTGTATTACCGCCTATTTCTTTACTAAAATGTCTAATTCATTAAGAAACTTTGATATGCATGAACAAAGTACTTTTCTGTGCTTTTTCTTGATTTCAATCACCTCATCCATATTACAGAATCTTTATTGCGAGGTCCGAAAACTACACAATCTAGGATAGGATTTTTTTATACTGTTTATGACCAACTTCTGCAAAGTATTTAGATATCACAATTCACCTCAGTCCTGTCACGGTCGCAAAAAAATATTAAATCCTTCGAAAACTACCCGTACTATACAATTATTATCAAATACAACTGACTCCATTTTATCTGTTATTAATACATTCCATTAATATACGACCAATCAGCTTGGTGATTGTTTCAAATTCTAACCAATCAGATGATTTATTTATTTATTTATTGAAATAAACAGGCCTGGGCCTAGTTACATATTTCCAATGATCAAGTGATTAAAAGCTAGGTAGTTTTTTTAATAGCGACAATTCAACTCATGTATAAAAAATCGCATAAGCCGCAGTGCAATTGTCACTTTGACAGCGGCAAAAGTTACCTGCATCTTTTCCAGCGACAAATGCACTAGTGGTTTTTTCACTATTCATTTTCGAACCAATTATCGCATTATCCTGTCTCATCTGACTAGTTCGACGTTTGTCAATAATTGATTAGTTTCGTGAATTTGTTGTTCGTTAAATTGTCCTGCCGAATTACACTCGAGGTTTGTATTTAAACCGAGTAAATTTGGGTTGTGGCAATTCAAATCTGTTTCCTTTTAGCAATTGGACTCGAAAAACTGTCAACCTAAAAATGCTCTACCTGCGGTGTCGCATTTTTATTAGTTGACAGTTTTTCTCGTCTAATTGCTAGGCAACAGATTTTCATTACCTTAACAACCCAAATTTACTCGGTAAAATACAAACCTCTTGTGCAATTAGTGATAAAAATGCGTGTAGAAATGCGTAATATATTTTAATTTTAATTCACTAACATTTTGTTGCCTCTTGGAAAAACTCTCGATCAAAAGCATATGATAAAATCGCTCCAGCTAAAGCTGTCTCAAAGCACATCGATATTAACATTAGATAACTTTTACCAAAGAGTATACCTTTTACATATATTAATTAAGGGAGAAAATGCGAACTAGTGCATCCAAAACTTTGGAAAAACGACTAATCGGCAGTTCTCAATAAACTCCAGGTTCTGTTTTGCCGACACGCATTATACTCGTTCCTTGTTTTGGTGAGCATTTTGTTTAACCCTGCGGTAGTCGCGCGATTTTACAGAATACCATTGGTCGCATCGGTCTAAGACGCCGAAAATCTTTTTTCTACAAAACATGAAGTGTTTCGTAGATGTTTTTATTTTTATGGTTTAGTATACCATACAGCAACATATTACCACGGATTGTTAATCTGTGATATTACGTAGGAAATCATATAATAATAATAAAGCATTTATTGAAAACAACTTAACACAATGTTCAAGATAAAGATAAAAATAAAATCGCACATTATGTTCGAAGAAAACAGAGTAACTTAAGAACTGCGCACTTGTTATTTCCAAAAGAAATGAGTTCAAACAACTACTACGTAGAAGCTCAACCCAGTTTGAATACTCAATAACATTAATTATGGCATTACGAGTGAAAAATGGTATTTTTAACAGGACAAATAAATTATAATAAAACATTTTCAAATGTTTCTTTAACACGTAAAAAAATAACCATATTTATATTTTGATTAAAATAGAAGTTATTCAAAAATAAAAATAAACTGCATACAACAAAAATAACACATCATTATCAGAGTTAAAAAAACAAAAATCGTGTATACGACAAAAAGGCATGTTCGTAGCAATTTTGGCAACACCTAACAGGTAACGCCTGATTTTTTATTCGTGCACTATCGTCCTTTGTTCACTATGGTAGTCCTCGCGTTGATTAGTGTATGATTACGTTGATGATGGTTGATTCACGAAAGATTAGTTGTTAAAGGAATATTAGTAAATAAGGAGATAAGGAAATATGTGTCAGTGTTGTCTCGTATATAAAACGTGTTGGATTTTTAGCGCATTTTTGAAAAAAAATACGCCATTATATTCGTTATGGCTGGCTGGCTGGCTGTTCGGCTGAGATCTCAGCAATTGCAATAGCTAGAGACTTCAATTTTTCACTAAAAGCTTTATGATATAGTGTAGATGTACAGGCTCTAGCCTGTTTTGAGTTAGATAGTTGTGATAGATAATTTTAAACTTCGCTAATAAAATACTGATCGGTATTACCAAAAATGCGCTTTCATCATGCATATGCTGATTTACAACTTGTTTCATTAGATGTCAGCATTGCTGGGTTTCTTTCGTGTATGAGGCGTGCGCGATTTTATATACTGGGTGGGGTCTGTGTAGACTCGGGGTGTTTTCACGTATACGTAGGTATTTTCTCGAAATCGTCTTGTTGTAATATAAACATTCAAATTATATAAAACTTGTTACCAATATATTTTTGTTTTTTAAGGAGTAACTCACCAGAAATGGTGTGAAACCGAGCACCAGTAGGGGTGACTCTGACTGTCTGTTAGTACTTGAGTGGTGTAGGATACACGATTGATTTTTTAGATTACATTTATACGAGTTTCAGGATGCCACTGTAGGTTCCTAAAATCATGCCGCATCGCAGTAATCAGTACAACATTAGGTTGGTTACTGCCTCGATGTGAAGTTCACCACTTCTTGGCTGAGTACCTTAGGGAGGTAACGTCCCTAGGTACAGTTTTTTGCAATGTCATGGGCTCTTTCCAAGACACTGCATGGGTATAGGTGCGTTTTTATAAGATTTTGGTGGTTGGAACGAGTTTAATGGTGCTTTCCTTATGTTAATGGTTCAGAATATGACGAATTTGAATTTTTTGAGAACTGCAAGCAAGGCTTGATTCTGGGCAAGAGGTATTTTTATTTTACGGTGAGAGAACCACAGTCCATTTTCCTAACAGGGTAATTACAAGAAAAGATAAATCACGAGATAGCCATCTGTCACTTTTCAAAATATTCACCATTACACAGTAAACAGTCAAAATTAATTAATATGATCAAGGGTACCCCTATATTGTAAGAAACTGTTACACCATGAAACATTGATAAAAAATATTTCGCACTCCTAATATAATTTTCTTCCTAAAAAATTGTTTTGTGAAGTGTCGTTTACGCTGGTGACGGCTGTACAAATGACATCTCCATCTGCGCGCCTTCCTTGGGCGAATTTGAATTCTTGCGTGTGTCATTTTGCTGTGGTTTTCGCCCGTTCAAGTGCCTTTCAACCCATTTTAAAAGTGTTAGGACTGAATCGGTAGATGACAATCGGCGTTCCGCCGAGGTCTTTGTAATTGGAGAGTTTATCACTCTAAATGTCGCCGCCATACCTTTCAAAGCCTAAAAAACGGGGTAGGGAGCTTCATTCTAACTATCTAAGTAACTAAATCGTACCACCATAGCATCTTCATCAGTGGTGTCGTCGCCGGCGTAAATAATTCTAATACGCTCGCTCCAATCCACACCAAAAGCCGTGCGCAAGATGTAAATCGAAGCCCTGCCTTTATTCCACTCGACAGGCGGACGAGCTTCCAAGGCGCAAAGGGATTTCGCCGCAATAAACCCAGCTCCCTCTATTAAAATTTTCGCCTGTCGCTCTAGCTGGGTCCGTAAGTGAGCGGGAGTTTCGCGGAAATGGAATGTGAGTACGGCCCCCTTGTTTTCAACCCAGGCGCCATCTCTGCAGAAGTGCTCCTGCAACTGCTGCAGGAGTTCCGACAACCTCGATTGCATTTCCGTAGGTATGTGGTGTACGAATTTGCTCCCATCCGGATGTAAAATCTCCAACCCGTGACTACCTGCGTAAGTTATCCCTTCAATTCCAACCTACAACTGAGACTTAGTCGCTGAAATCGGCTCGATACTCTTACCATGTCCTTAACGTTGTTGACGTTTCTTCCAGAAATTACCGCTATATAACAGTCTGGCATATTCGACAACCTTTGCAATACATTTTTTGTTTCCGTTGGTAGTATTGCGAGATTAGGATGTGGAGCTATTGGAGCCAAGGTACCATCGTAGTCTAATAGCAACGCAAGTTTGTGATTGTTCCCGAAGTATCTGAAAGTGCTTGAGTGTAAACATTTGCTCAAAATTACGAAGAAACCTACTTTACGAGATACTCGTCGAAATCGTCCAGAGTAACTTCGGGAATAGTTACATTGTCGATGCTCTCATCCTCATTTTGCGTAACCAAAGAACCGATCGCCTGTAAAAACGATCTTTTCCAATAGTAAACATCGTTGAGTTTCTCGCGCCTTCGCAAGTAATTCATTCTTAGTATTCGTTCGTCCTCGGGCATTGTGAGTGCTCGGTGCAGACATTCAGATGCGCCTTCGATCTCGTACGGATTGCAGATGATTGCCTCGTGCATGGTTTCACTGGCACCCGCAAAAGATGACACGATCAGCACACCTGGGGGGACGTTTAATTGACAGGCGACAAATTCTTTGGCAACCAAATTCATTCCATCTCGTAATGGTGTCACTAGCCCGACGGCCGCCTCTCGATAAAAGGCGGCGAGTTCGTCCTGAGTTACGCAGCCGTAAATGTATCTGATCGGTGCCCAATTCGGCGTACTGAACTTTCCATTAATTCGCCCGACGAGTTGATCTATTTCTTCTTTCAGATCTTGATACTCTTTAACATCAGTGCGCGAGGGTACCGCAATTTGAAGAAACGAAACTTTTTCACGATGCTCGGGAAAGTTTTCCAAAAGTGACTCAAAGGACAAAAAACGATGCACCAAACCCTTTGTGTAATCCAACCGGTCTACTCCCAAAATAATTTTCTGGTTGGTCGATAATACTTTGGGTGCCTTCTCGGCTAATTGCACAAACCTCTCGTACGGTATTCCAATGGGCAAAGCCCGCACACGTACGGTCCTGCCGACGTGCTTAACCATTAGATTTTTCTTATCAATTCGACAACCTAAACATCGTTGACAACAGTCGACGAAGTTGAGGCAGTAGTCGGTAATGTGAAACCCTACCATGTCGCACGCTAACATTCCTTGTAGTATTTCATCGGCCCATGGGAGTAATCGAAATATATCCCAAGACGGGAACGGAATGTGGAGGAAGAAACCTATCTTACAACCTATGTCCTCGTCTGTAGCCGCCTAAATGTCAAAGTTAGTTAGGTCAAATCGAAAATAAAACGCGTACCTCTCGTATCCAATTCGGTGCAATAGTCAGATGATAATCGTGTATCCACACTAAGGGAGCATCGTCTCGATTGCCCGAGTTCGAGTTATAGACTTTTTTGAGCGTTTCGAATGTGCGGTCTGCGAATTCCTTGTTGACTTCGACGTATGCTTTCCAATGGTCGCGACTAAATACTGCTCTATCTGGCATTGAGAGAAATAACGGCCACAATGTGGCATTGCAGCAACCATTGTAGTAATCATTAAATTTTGTGGAACCTATGTGAACTGGAACTACCTAGAAATTTGCTTGGAATTAGTCATGTAAACGTCTACTGTGTCATTTAATCCGTTAATGTATTTCTAAAAATTAGTTGGAAACGAGATCAATGCCTATTTCACCAAACAATGCAGGTCGTAGAAATTTTTTTTTAATCTTTTGAGATTTAAATAATCTTTAGATATAAACACTTTTATCGCCTCCAACTTCGCTAAATTTTAGGGTACTTTTACTTTTCCTAAATAGAAACAAACCTTATCAGACTTTAATCCAGCTGTGGGAGTAATATCACTAGGATCCGACTCGGGAATGGACTCATTGCGGTCATCCAGATGTATACCTGGCCATCCTACCCAATATCCACCATCGTTAATAACCACGGGCGCCATAGCAGTCACCAAACCGCCAGCACTAAACATTCAAGAACACGTCATTTTGTATCACGGGTTAATCGCCAAAATCTAAATAACCTCACCTCGCCTTTCTAAACAACCGTCCATTTTCATCCCTCTGCAAGACAAACGGAAGACGATTTGAGACAACAATCGTGCATCCTGATGAGGTGACTGCAACAACGGAGTAATGTGCAGTTTCATTGTTGTTAACGGGGTGGAAATTCTTAACACTTTTGTAGGGGAGTTGTTAGTGATATCAAAAAAGTAATATAGGGGTCATGTGCTCTTTTTGGGCCAAACTTAATAGTAAAATCAAAATTTTAAAATATTCGCTCGCTTAAAGATACGAGAAGAAATAAAAAAAAACTCAATTTCAGAATTACCGGTTCATAGCTGAAAGAGATAAGTACAGAGAAAGGTTTATTACAAAAGTTTCTTTCAAATTATTCTTGAATAATCTGCCGTTTTCAATATAAGTATACGAGGCCAGGTAAAAAGTTATCGGACTTAAATGTAACACCCTGTATAATTTAAACCATTTCCAAAGTTCCTGTCCCTGTTCCTTAAGGACATGCCCTCCATAATCTTTAGTATGGCCTTTAATTTGTTAGTGTTTACCACTTAGATTCCGCCAATTTATATTGGAAGATTAGCATAAGTAATTTTTGCTTTGAAAATGGCATGTCGTTAATCAGACTGAAACTTATGTCAGTTTTTACTACTTATCTGCGAATCTGTTACTTCGACCTTTATTGGTTAAAAACGATTGCATATTAAATCCGCTTTTCTAAAATATAACACTAAAAAATTCAATCCAAAAAGAGACGATGGACATTTCTGAAAAAATAAAAAAATGTCAATCGAGAAAGATTCAATGGAGATTTTAAAAAATAAAGTCCAAAAAGCTATTTAAAATTCTTTGTATTTATTGTAATTATTTGAACCTTTTTAATTTTTTTCAATCAAAGCTAGGATTCCCCGATGTCGACGCTGTGAGGGAAATCGGGAAATACACATGGTATCTGGGCGTTTTGGACCCTGCCGAATCCGATTTTGCAAAAAAGCAAAATTTTTGCTCACTTAAAGTAAACTAAATCAAGAATACTAGAAAACTCGGTATTTGGAGCGCCATTTCAGCCTTCATCTTAATTTTTGTTGCTTCAAAATGTTTCATAATATAGTAATAAGTGGAAACACGTATACGTTACATAAAACTCATGATGACATTCTTGTTAAAAATGTTAAAGTGAGTTTTAGCCGCCATTTTGACTGCTGTCTTGATTTGAGAATTCGAGGTGGTGACAGGCGAAATCGGATTCAGCAGTGTCCTAAAAACACATTAAAATCTTTCTCACGATTTGTTGTTAGAACGTTTACAATGCGCTTTACTGAATTTCTTGCCCAGACTATTGTATTCGTAATAAACAAGTTGTAAATCAGCATAATATTATGCATTTTTGGTAATGCAGATCAGTATTTTATTAGCAAAGTTTAAAATTATCGATCTCACGTGAGATCTAACTCAAAATAGAATAGTGCCTGCACATCTACACTATAACAGAAAGCTTTTAGCGAACATTTGAAGTCTCTAGCTATTGTAATTGCTGAGTTCTCAGTCGGGCAGCCAGCCAGCCTTATGGAATATAATAGCGTATTTTTTTCCAAAAATGCGCTAAAAATGCGGGTCATATAAAAAATAAAATTGATGATCATTTCTTCGAAACGAAACGTTGTATTGATAACAAACTAGTGGCAATGAAATTTTGTTTGTATCTGTTGAAATGATATCAGAAAAAAACAAAAAATAAATCGGGAAATTGCGGTTTGTGCTGTGAAATATCTTTGGAAGCAATCGGAATTTTCCCGTTTTCTTTACAACATGATAATAACTATTTAATTGGCAGACAAACTTACTTAATAATGAATCTGTAACTTTGTGAAGTGGCCTTTATGCATTAATGGCAACCTTGTGTGGTTTGTATGAATTCCGCTGCTAAGTTCTTAAAATTGGGTAAAATTGCAATTGAGGCACATATCCATTGTATTGACCTTAATGTGGTAATCAATGTCAAACTTAAATTTTTGATTGAAAACCTGAGCAAATTACACATTATAATTCATTTTCCTTCTTTTGTTCTAGGGCGCAAGGGATTATCACGAAGTATGCGTTCTTCTACGACTCCCTTGGTTCATTTTACGACAGCATGACTGCTATGGAGACATTTCATGAAGTGCTGAAGGAACAGAAAGGAGTGGAGGTAAAGTGATTTTATTTCCGTATCAATGGCGGTTAGCTATTCTGATTGGTCATATTCACAGAGATACGCGAAGCAAAATATGAATCTCAGTAAACACTTTCGTCCTACCATTGAATAATATACCATTGAATAATATTTATTACTCAATGGTCTCACTAAACGACTACCAACATGTCGGTACTACCTACAACCTACATTCAGCCCTGTGATGTATCAGAAATGATAAACTTAACGTGCAGATTATCTGCCAAAAAACGTTTTCTACAGATTGCCTGCACGTTAAGTTTAACGTTAGTGATAAATCACAGGGCCGCTTGTCTATTTTTGGTAATGTATTTCATTGCCGTCTTTGTTGTGATAATTACTATCTTAAATAATTAATTTATCATAAGTAATTAAATAATTACCTATGCATTTAAAGAATATCGCACTCACAAATAAGCAATTACTACCCGTATAGTTTTATACGAATTAAATACTATAGTCGCAATTACGAACGGTGGTTTGTGACTCATGGGTTTTTTTAGGATTATAGAAGATACATGATTCTATTGTATTATTTGAAAGTGTATTCAATGTATCTGATTATTCTATCATTTGTATTCACCAACACATGTACGGCGGTAGGTGAGAAAATTTATTTTGTATAGAATTTCTCATATACGAAATTACTACTATACTTTGGTTTGCAATACATTTGACTCCATGTAAATATCAATCAATCAATCATTCGTCAAACAGGTAAACAACAAACTACATTAAATAGAGAAGACAAACCGAGAGACAAATAAAACAAATTAAAATATAATAAGCCTGAGTATCACAGATCAACGGGCTGGGATTATACTGTTAGACCAAATATGGTAATGACAATGGTTAATCTTTCCTCCATGAACCGTTTCCTTATCTACATATAAATCTTTGATTACGAATAACAGTAGGTAATAACTTCCGCCGTTTGCACCGACAACCGGTTAAATTCCATGGCAACGATTATTAACGAGCTCCTAGCGAGTTTATAATTTTGCGGTGTCTGTTCGTCCGTCTGTTCGTCCGTCCGTCCGTCCGTTAGCACGATAACTCATAAACGAATGGACCGATTTCGATGAAATTTTGCAGGTGGATTCTTTACCAAATGTGTAGATCGGAAGTCGTGAATCGGCAATGTAGACCAAAAAATGGCCCTTTTGACATCTCCGTTAGGTATGAACCGAATTGCATGAAATTCAATATGCGAATAGCTTTACCCACATAAAACACAATTCCAAAAGTTGAGCCTAATCGATCTCGACCATTTACAGACCGAATTGCAAACTTTCTTATTTGGATTTAAATGAAATTTGATACATAGCCACTTGGGATAAAAGTAAATATAACGCCAGTTTCAAAATTTGGTTTTGTGTAGAATGTGCAGTGCCAACTTTCCTATTTATGGAAACAATTAAATCAAATTTCATCCACTTTAAATAAAATCAAAACTAACATCAGGTTTAAAATTTGGTTTTTCACATGCTACAGGAGCTCGATTGCTATATTTGTTTAATTTATTGCTACTATGGTCGCCATGGATTTTAAGCGAAACTCAGCTTAATTTTGTCGGCCCATAAGTCGGTTGATTGATACGGAAATTCCGATACCCTACAAAAACATAGGCAAAAAAAGTTCACTTACCTGCTGTTACTAACGGCAATCGTGAGCGAGAGTTGAAGTTATCGTCTGCATTGATTTGTGTATACCTCATTTCACCCGGCATGCAAAATGAAATGAATTGGGCGGTAGCGACTAAAGAGATTAATTCCAAAAAGAAAATAACAATAATTGCAGTTTTAATTAATTTTATGCACTAAAAAATAAAATATTTAAATGCGCACAATTAATTTGGACTTTTTTTTGTATCTTGACAAAGAGGCGCAAATGTAATTATTTTTATTTTAATTACGCGGTCCTTGAATTATAAGGCGTATGTTAAACTAACAGTGGTGCTGCGTGACCAATGATTTAATTATGCAATCAACGCCAATATATCTCAATCTTTATTGTGATAACCAAAAAACATAGTTTTGGGTGAAGTGCAACATCGCACTTGTTACATCTGAAGGTTACCACATCTAATCTCTTTTTCTTGAGAAATGACAATACGCTCTAATTTAACAATTCTTCCACTGCCCGCATCTCCTGTAGCCGTGGTTGCTTTTATTCCTCTTACAATCAAATAAATACAGTAAGAGAAAATAAAACTAATAAATACGTAATAAACTAATTAGTTAAATAAATTATATTAAACTTTCAAAAATTCGTTAACGGAAAGACAATGTCTCAAACGGTCATAAAAACTGTTGATTCCTGATTAGAGTGATTTCTTGTGAAGCTGCAGTGATTCTGTTTTTGAGCTCGTCCAAGTTTTAAATTTCTACACCAGTGTACACTTTGATCTTGAGGTAACCCCAATAAAAATAGTCCAGTGGCGTCAAATCAGGTCACCGAGCTGGCCACCAAATTGGTCCTTCGTGACCGATCCAATGGCGCCGTCCAAACGTGGTGTTCAGATATTCTCTTACAACGTGGGAATAATACACTTCAGCGCCATCATGTCGAAAGGTAATTTCTCTCAAATTCAAGTCTGTAATTGCTCCTTCGCGTTACGTTTCCATCCAAGGAAAATGTGGTTTCCAATCATACCTGCTCAAGTGCTAACTTTCTGGGTTCTTGATGCGTTAATTAGATAATGGTTTTCGTTAGACCAGTTCCTGCAATATACCTCATTAGAAATGAATGCAGCCTCGTCAGTAAAACAAATTGTATTTAAAAATTCTTCATCATTGGTTATTTTTTCGACCATAAGTTTACAAAATTCCATCCTTTGATCTGGATCATTATTTAGAAGCTCTTGGTGGTTTTGAAATGTGTAGCATGTGTATTTCAATACTTTAACGAGTGGTAACTGATTTCATGTTCAACTGCTAGCTTACGAGCGGAGAGTGACCGATTATTTTCGACTGAAGCTAAGATATTAATTCCTTTATCTCCACCAACTTGTGGTGCTATGATAAGTCTCTCATGGGCAATTCTTACACAGCCTGTATTTTTATATATGTTTACTACTCTTGTAATGGTGGAAATATTGAACGATCTGGGAACTCCACAGCAAATACAACAGAATACATTAGCACTTTTTCTTTTGTTGAATACATTTTAGCTATAAATACTAAATCACAAATACACAGTTTTTAAGTAACACGTAAATCCAGGCGTAAATCATAAAGTATATGAAATTTCCTACTACACTATTTAGTTTTTTTCCTCGATGCTTTGGGCTCAAACTCAAGTTGAAAATTGGCATATTTCGGCTGTCTCCGCAAAACACATAGTTCCTATTATTATTATTATTTGAATTGTACACGTAAGGGTGATTTTTTGAGCCCGAAGGGTTCATCGAGGAAAAAAACTAATGTAGTTTGTAGGACATTTCATATACTTTGATTTTGAATTGGAAGGTTATTTTCGAAAAGTTGATAGTGTTCGTTTCCACAAAAAATATTCCGATTTATGCTCGTAGGGAAACTCGCGCGGCCCGACTAATTTTCTCATAGATGTTCGCTATTTGCCCCAATCTAAGGAAAATTGTCTCTCTTCGAAATATTGACTTTCTAAGGAAATCGATTCAAACGCAGGTAGGTACTGTTAAAAAAACTCAACTACAACTCTAATGGGAAAAGGTATAACTTAGGGTTATTTGTCATAAACCCATAACTTACCGCCCAGAAACGTTCGCCCTTACTTTTAAGAAAACTAGGCGACGAAATATTCACGTTTCAAAAAACCTGGAAATTATACAAATGTGTTCAGAAAGTTTCTACCTAAATAGAAGCTTTGGAAATATCTCCGTCTCCCACCCTGCACTTAGAAATTCACTTACCGATAATTTTGCCTCAAAAAAAACTCGCATTGTTAAATTCAGTGACAAGAGTTCGCTTTAGAAATAATACTCGGTTGGGCTCGCATATCGACTGCCTCTATACGACTTATATAAAATATATACCTACAGCGTTTTAAAACTAGCAATAGCTATATTTTTTTAAAGAGAGGTAAAATAAAAATACTGTTTCTTTAACAACCAAGGGAAATCCAAATTAGGTACTAATTTTTTAATTCATCTGTGGCAGAGATGGAAGTTACCTTAGACCAGTTTCGAGCATTCTTCCGGCTACTCCGAATTAGGTTTTCCTGCAGTTTTCCTAATTCGTAATGTAAATACTGGAGTAGTATAGAACAACTTAAGACCTTCTGCAGAGGCACCTCTAAAAAGTATTATGCGGGTCACTCTGTAATTGGGCGCAAGCCTGTAGAGGGCCCAGAACAAGCAGAGGCACCTCTAAAAAGTATTAAAACTAAGCTAAATGTTAAGGGTCTTGGAAAACGTACAATGCCTATAATAATTAATAGAATAATTATATTATTAATAATGATAAATGTGGTTGTTGTAAAAGGTATGGAGAATTAATGATGTATTTTCATAATTTCAATTGCTTGTTCCATGCTAGAAGCCACTTTAAAATAATCAAAGAACCAAATGGAAGATAATTGCCGTTCATTAAAAAATCCTTTTTTATGACCCAATTTAAGATTTTTACGACAGTAAGCTTAAGGGATAAGGTAGTTTAAAAGTAATAATTTGGATTCCTTCTGGTTTTTACAGAAACAGTTTTTTTTTTGATTGATTAGCCATTATAAGTTGTCAAAGGCCCACACTGTATAAAAGGTCGTTTGTATTCTATCCATGGGTATTCCTTAAGAGAAAGTTTCCTTTTTAGGGTGATATTACCTGCGATCTTCTTGTTCTTTTCTTCTATGAATTTTCGTGAAGGTAAAAATTTGTCGACATGAATTGAATTCTTTTGGGCAGTACATTCCGGTGACTAATTTATGTGTTGACAAACAGTTCAGGATTAAATTTCAGGGTCTAGTGTTTCTTGTTTGGGCCCTTAAATTTGTTTATAAAATATTCGCCCTCCGAAACTTTGCGTCCATGTGTTCAATCCTCATGATCAGCTCGCCTACCGGTGTTGTCGTCTCGAAAAATTCGCTTACAAAAACTGCCCAAAAGTACTTGATTTGCAGAGAATATTCATTTTCCTAAGAAGGCACGGTATATCGCTACTATTTTATGAAAATCCCTCTCGTTTATTTTTCGTTAATTGCTTTTAATTTTTAACATTGTGTCTAATTATGTTGATGAACTGAAGAAGATATATCCTGTGATAAGATTAAGTTAAATTTTAAAGATAGTACGAGCATTATGGAAGAAAATTTATTGCCTTAAATTTTACAACAATTTATACAAACAGACTTAAAAGAGCCTCTAAGTACACCTGTTCCTTAAATATGTATTCAAATATCTTTAATTGATCAGCACAAATAATTTAGTCCAGTCAAAT